GGAGAGTAGCCGCCCCTCTGAAAAGAGCACTTAAGGATAAGATACAGGAATTGGAGAAACTGGGTGTCATCGCTAAAGTGACACAGCCGACAGAATGGATAAGCAGCATGGTTGCAGTGAAGAAACCGAATAAGCTTAGAATATGTATAGATCCCAAAGATCTAAACAAAGCACTGAAGCACTCTCATTATCCAATGCCAACTATCGAATAAATCCTACCACGCCTCAGCAAGGCTAAGGTATTTTCAGTCCTTGATGCTAAAGACGGATTTTGGCAAATAAAACTAGACAAGGAAAGAAGCTTCCTTACGACGTTTTGGACGCCATTTGGAAGGTACAGACGGATCCGCATGCCCTTTGGAATATCTACAGCACCAGAAGAGTATCAGCGAAGACAACATTATGCTCTCAATGGACTCAAAGGAGTAGATGTCATAGTGGATGACATACTTGTTTTCGGCTGTGGAGACTCTGAAGAAGAGGCCAAAAAGAAGCAAAAGAGTATTGGACTTACAGAGAAGAAATTACTCTTCAGAACGGCCTACTTTTCAAAGGTTTTAGAATCATTATTCCAAAACTACTAAGATCCAAGATGATGTCTAAAGCACATTCTAGTCACCAAGGTATTGAAGCTTCCCTTCGTAAAGCCCGAGATTCTATCTACTGGCCAGCAGTGAACAGTGAAATCAAAGATTATGTACAACAGTGTAGCATCTGCAATGAATTCCAGTCAAAACAAACCAAGGAACCCTTAATGATACATCCGATACCAAAGCTACCATGGAGCAAAATAGGAACAGACCTATTCTCAATCAGAGACAAGGATTATCTCATTACAGTCGACTATTACTCTGACTTCTGGGAACTCAATGAACTCTCATCTACTTCAGCAGATACCATCATCAAATGTTTGAAGGAGCACTTTAGTCGCCACGGGATTCCAAACACTGTCATAAGCGACAATGGGCCGCAATTTACAAACGACGCGTTTAGGAACTTTGCAGATGAATGGGATTTCGAACATGCAACCAGTTCACCCTACCACAGCCAGTCAAATGGAAAAGCGGAATCTGCCGTGAAAATAGCAAAAGGGATCATCAAGAAATCAATGAAGGAAAAGGAAGACCTCTGGAGAGCCATATTAGACTGGAGAAATACCCCAACTCAAGACATGGGATGTAGCCCTGCTCAGCGGCTAATGTCAAGAAGAACAAGATCATCCCTTCCAATCGCACACCAGCTTCTTAAACCCGAGATTCAAAAAAATGTACAAACCAAGATCAGGATCAAGAGACAGAGGTCGAAACAGTATTATGACAAAGGAACAAGACCACTAGCGGAACTATGCACAGGTGACTACCTTCGAGTCAAACCTACCAGACTCGGAGACGACAAATGGAAATTTGGAAAATGTGTTAAAAAACACACACTACCGCGCTCATACATAGTGGACATAGATGGAGTACAGTATCGGAGAAACCGAAGGGACTTGAGATTATCCAGAGAAGTTCCACCTCCTGAAGACCTACATGTGGACGATCACCAGGACATCAACAGTCATGACAAAACGAATGGGCCGACAGTGAAAGACAATGAAAAACCTCAGGAGAAACATCAGTTTTCGCAGCCAAATGTCCGCAGGAGTTTAAGAACAATAGTGCCACCTAAACACCTCGCCGATTACGTGTGCAAATAGGTTATTTTCCATCAAGACTGTAAATATGTATAAAGTTGTAGATCTGTTATGTTAATGATTTTTTTTTCTAAAAAACAGTGTTTCGCTTAGCCGTGGACCGTGGACAATAATTTGTTTCTATCATTCAGAACATTGTTTGGACTATAATTGCTAATTTTTTATATAAATTGTATTTTGAATTTTTATTCTGTAAAAAAGAGGGGATGTTATGATATATTGACATTTAAGACTCTTGACACTATCCCCTATGTGATGCACATGCGCATACTTATTCTGTATCAATCATCAATAAATTAGTCCCCCCTCTATGGTATCCTTGACCCAAGGACCTTGAAATTCATAATTCTGGAAGAAGGCCCCTCGTTCATTATAGATATATAGGTAGTTCATCTGCGTAATACCAATGAACAAAGAACATTTTCTTTGATTTAATGTACATAGTTTATTTAATACCCATGAGCAGAGAAGAAGACTCTCAAAGAATTAATATTTTTTCACTGTATAATCAATAGAGCCCCACCCTAACACTGGACTAACTGACCCCGGGGCCTCAAATTTCACAATTTTGAAAAAGGCATTCATTCTCATCACAATTATGTACTTAGTTTATTTCATACCCATAAGCAGAAAAGATTTTCTAAGAATTAGTTCATAATTATAACTATGAAATCAATTGAGCCTCAATCCTAACACCAGAACCCATGACCCTGGAGCCTTAAGGTTATCCGATCCTCAGGTTCTAAAAATCAGGCATTGATTAATTGAAAATGTTCACAGAGATGTCTCTAAATTCTCAAAGTAAAATGTATTTACCCACGGTGTTTCTTTACACTTCATCTTTAAATTTAATCATATTATATAAGGAAAATTAGTAAATCTCAAATAATTTTTCCCAAAATGCGATTAGATCTACCTACTGCATGTTTTGTAATTGATAATTGATCAAGAAATACATTTTAGGAATAAAAATCATAGGTATCCAGGTTTTGAAAGAAAATTGCATGATTTTTATACTTATTCGGTACTTTACTTTCTTACCTATTTCCATCGCTTCATAATGCATAGTGTATGAAGTGTTTCCTTTCATGCTTATAAACATTGGTTACTAAGGCTAAATTAAAAGAAGTTAAAGAACTTTGATTTTTTTTTCTTAATATGCAAGTTTTACTTAGTTTTATGAGGTTCAAATGTCAACTTTTTTAATAACGAATGTAAAAACTTTAAAGAACATTGAATCATACGTAGTGGCATAAAATGAAAATTGTTGCATGAAAAAATTTCCATTTCAAGCTTTATTTTAAGACTTTTTGAATTAAATTATAAATTAAAGAGTTATCCTTCCTGGCTGAGGATCAAATATCCTTAAAATTCACAATTTTGGAAGAGACATTCTTGCTTTTCATAACCATGTACTCCGTTTATTTAATACCCTGGAGCAGAGAAGATTTTTAAAGAAATAATGCGTTTTCGTTAAAAAATAGGACTCAATGGTTATTACAATGATGTCCACAGTTTGACTGTTTAATGGCCATAAGTAAAGAAGAAAATTGCAATTATTTAGTGGTTTTGGCCCCATCCTCAAGTCTCTTGGGGGATGCAAAATTAAATTTTTTGTTCCCTTCACAAATAGATGCGGTATACCAAATTTGGTTAAAACTGGTTCAGATTCAGAGAAGAATTAAGCTGACATTGTTCAACTGTTCACACAGGTCACACGACGACGGACGAAAACAGATAGCAATATGTCACCTGAGTTACTTGGGTAACCTAAAAACTCTGAAAAATATGAATAAGGATTTTTTTATGTGAAATAAACATTTAAATCAAATTAGATATTTAAACCATATTTGAAACACATTATTTTATTGCAACACAGCTTTTAAAAAATCCGAAGTTCTGTGTTTGTTTCTTTCTTACTGATCTGAAGAGCATCCCTAAAGGGCTTCGGTACATCAAAAGTTTGGCTGAAAAAATGTTTCTTACTTTTTTTTTACTAGGTATGACAAAAGCTTGTTTTTGAATATCTATATTTATAATAGGTATGACAATAGCTTGTTTTTGAATATCTATATTTATGATAGGTATGACAAAAGCTTGTTTTTGAATATCAGTTGCGTTTACTAACATCTTTGCCAGGTCTACATATTGACCGTTGATAATTTTGTTCTTTACTTCTTGTGAAACATTTAACCCTTTTACGTCTCCATATGAGTGAAAAATTCTCGAGAGCGACGTTAAACAATATACAATCAATCAATCTAACGGGTTTTCATAGCTATCAACAATCTTTGAAACCTCTGAATGTTCATTTAATATTCCAAGGGTTTCAACCGTACCCGATTCTTTGTCCTGTTCTTGATCAGTTGGGGTCTGCGGAGATTCCACGCTTGGGGCTAAGATGCCCTCTGCCTCGTTCACAGTCACTGACAGTGTTTTCCCTCAGCTAGACTGGAAGTTCGTCTCTTGTCCTCTTTCAACTTCTGTCATATGTCCCCTTTCTCGGCAATCCGTTTCTATTTTTTTTTACTTTCGGCATTATGTCGGCAATATTTTTTATTAGCTTGACTGTTTTTTTTTGTACTTGGAAGATTTTTTTCTTATCTGCTTAGCGTCAGTTTCTGCAGTTGTTGAATTAAGGGAAAAAGAAGTACCGGTACAATATTATTAGAACTGATTTACGTAGATTTTTCGTAAAGAAACGTCAAGTTTCCGGAAAAAGCATATAATTTGGATTCATACTAAAATAAACGACTATATTGTTAAACCAATAAATCTTAATATGAAAATATGAAAAAGGGGAAAAAAATGAACCTTTAAAATGTGTAAAACAATCTACAAAAAATATTTGAACTTTTTGTCAGGAGCTATCTGAAATGTTTTTGTACGTGTGAATGAATCATTATATGAAATACATAAATATGGTTTGTATCCGGAATATTCATCATATCCCCAAATAATGCTAGCATTCTGCATGGATGTGAAGTAGTCTGTGAGAGCGACTTGATCTCCTAAGCAAAGTGGAATTTTGTGAAATACACGGTCACATATTTCACACGTTACCTGAAACCATAAACTTCACCATTTTAAAAATCAACTCAAATACATGTTGTTTATACAAGCCACATTGTAAAACATTTTATTACATTTTTAGAATACAACCCCCACCCCCACAATTACACAATTAACAACATTATTTATAGGTATAGACAATAGAATTACGACTTTGACCCGCGAAACCATAAAATAACTAAAAGTTGATTTATCAACCAATAACAGGTTGATATCTCAAAAAAAAATTAACAGATTTTGATTGATACCTGGGAAATTTCCTTTCGAGTACCTATTTCTGATGTATCAAAGTCAGTCATGAAAAATTTGGCATTGTTGGCATTCCACTTCTTCAAATGTGTACTGCAGAACTCTTTTGATAGAGGCTTTTGTTTTATCAGCTGTAATGAATTATCCAAAGGTGTAATTGCGAACGTTCGTGTTCACGCATACAAAAAAGTCGGGTATATTTTACTAAATAGTTTTGTATGTTGCATCGAAAAGGCATATTTCCTGGCCATACATTTTAAGTAGCCGTTTTTGTCTGCCCAGCAAAGAAGGCATTCTTCAGTTCTGAAAAATGTACATTTACAATGTCTTATTTTAATTCAACAAAGTGAAAAAAATACATATCACGCTATTGCCAACTATGTTTAATAAAAAAAAAGCCTTTTTACTATTGAATTACACAAACCCAAAAATATAAGACTGTTGCAGTATCACTATGTAGAACATGTTTAAGAAAAAAAATATTTATTCATTAAATAATTTACAGCAATTCATAACAAATGTTACTTTATAAGAGAAAATATAATTATCACGCACTGGTCAAGAAATTTTTTTTTTTAACAAAAAAAATCCACATGTCAAATTAGAGAAAAATTAATTAGTTAAGTGTAAGGAGCTAATTGATAGATCAAGCAGCTATCTGTCTCTTGGGAACTGGGCTAAGGAATGAGCCGTAAATAGTTCTAGTGACTAGCCTAACTTATTTAATGAATTTGAGAAAAAGCAACTTCATACAAATTTAAAACTGTATAATAAACTATGACATTGTATAATAAACTTAATTGCTATTGTACACATGTATAATATGATCAAAATTAATTATATTGCGTGTATGGGGGTGTTATTGGAATCAGCATGCCAATTCTCAATTTGAATTTCAGATTGAAACTTTTAGTCTATTATCAATTCAAAATAAATCAAGAATAAAAAAAAAATGGTAGATAGTCCCCTCAAATCTAATAATCATGCAGGAACCTTTTTTTTTCAGTATTAATCTTTGTACAGGTGTAACAAAGTTATACAAAAACATGCACATTTTGATTGCACTACAAAAGAGAAAGTAAAGATCCATTTATCCCTTGATAGTAATTAGTGGACATTCATCCAGCCAAGGATTAATTAATGAGTTCTATGTAGGGAAGCTAGCTGTCTCAATCATTTCTGTTAGAGCATGTCTCTGTAGTAAGGTAGCTCAAAGGGAAGCTAGCTGTCTCAATCATTTCTGTTAGAGCATGTCTCTGTAGTAAGGTAGCTCAAAGGGAAGCTAGCTGTCTCAATCATTTATGTTAGAGCATGTCTCTGTAGTAAGGTAGCTCAAAGGGAAGCTAGCTGTCTCAATCATTTCTGTTAGAGCATGTCTCTGTAGTAAGGTAGCTCAAAGGGAAGCTAGCTGTCTCAATCATTTCTGTTATATCATATCTCTGTAGTAAGGTAGCTGTCTCAATCATTTCTGTTAGATCATATCTTTGTAGTAAGGTAGCTGTCTCAATGATTTCTGTTAGAGCATATCTCTGTAGTAAGGTAGCACAAAGGGAAGCTAGCTGTCTCAATCATTTCTGTTACAGCATATCTCTGTAGTAAGGTAGCTCAAAGGGAAGCTAGCTGTCTCAATCATTTCTGTTAGAGCATATCTCTGTAGTAAGGTAGCTCAAAGGGACGCTAGC